TTTTTTCATACGTTTAAGTGAAATTAAAAAGGCACTTTTTTTTTGGCTTATCTCTTCAAACAAAAAAGTTTTTCTTATAGAGCATCTTGCCAAAAACAGGTCAAAATTTCACTAATGGGCCCATAAGTGGTCCACGTGAGGGTCTTTTGAATACCTAGTGCAGTAAATATAAATGCCAATATACCCAAAAATATTTTACAAGTTCAACTTTTGGGTTTGAAGCAAAACTGACAAAGTTTTATTTGCAGTATGTGTTTCCGCCAAAATGTCAAATTGGGCTCCACAGAGCCACTAATCAGGCCATAAGTGGTCTGTATGAGGTTGTTTTTGGTGCATGCGGTGATAAATATAAAAGCCAAAAACTCCATTAATATGAATCAAGTTCAACTTACAGGTTTTCTCCAAAACTAAAAAAGTTTTACTTGTTGCACTTGTCACCACGTAGTACATCAAAGAGTACTACGTGTCCACTCATCAGGCCATTAGTGGTCTATATAAAGGTGTTTTGAGCACTCAGTGGGATGAATATTAAAGACAGAGTCTCCACAAACATCATCCAAGTTCAAATTCTTCTTTTGCTCCAAAAGTAAAAAAGTTATTCTTGTGGCAAGTGTTGCCACAAAGCTTACTACGTAAACATAGTACCAGGATGATTTAATAGAGCCTGTGTATCTGTTCTTTAGTCCTTATCTGCGGACCTCACAAGATAACTTCATGTGCTGATCTTGGCCATAAATACTCTACGTAGATTATATGACTTGTTTTCTTACAAGGGCTTACCGCAAACACCTTGAACTGAGCTGATATGCACAAGTAGGCATAACAGGGCCGGGTACAAGGCCTTTGGCATTGAACTGTTATCTTGACATGATTGACATGACACTTTCTCACATACATATCAATGCACAAGGACTAACAATGAATGATGTATTGGACTTGGTGCTGATACGTCAATCGGATTTTCTAGAACTGATTTGAAATAGCAACTGTCTCAATTGGGATGGTGATTGATTAGCTAATGACGGAAGGGGCACATTTAATGACGGTTTAGGCATATGACGGTTTGATAGGCATAAACCGTTGTGGAAATCAGAATTGGGGTAACCCCATTATTTTATTAACTTTCATTTTAAAATACGAGAAACTACATTTTTTAGAACATTACATCAATAATGTGTTTTTAAATTAGTTCTTTATTTAGTTCATTTCTTTTTTTTTCATTTTCTTTCTCTCTTTACTTAATTTCAATTTTCATTTTTCATTTTTTATTTTTTATCTTATTTAGTTTGATCATATATGTCAAGTTTTATTATGTGAAGTGTTATATTTTTATTTCTCTATTTTTCTTTTTATGGGTTATGTAGTTTGATGGATGAGGTGTAGTGTAAAATGAAGTCAAATTTCGAATTTATGGGTTTAGAGGTTATGTGTAGTTGAATGTTGTATGGGTTACATAGGGTGTACAGGCTTAAACTTGAAATTTCGAATTTTATGGGTTTAAAAAGTCATGGTTACAGATGTGTATGGTTTTAACAAGTTATGTGTAGAGGAATCATGGTTTTGAGGTATGGGTTTAAATAAGGCTGAATTTCGAAAATCCAGCAACTCAGACAGATGGTGGTAAACTGGGGTGGTGGTAAACTGGGGTGGTAAACTGAAAAAGCAAGTAGGGATCGGTGTGAAATTATAAATTCATCAGATTATCAAACACCAATATTGGCAAATACAAAATCACAAATGAAAAGGATGATTTTGAAACTCGAAAATGGCTTTCAAAATTCCATAAAAGGCTCCATTTTCAATCATGAGACTTTATTTCAAATGTACTACATCAGTTTTTTAGAGGGTAAATCATGTGGAAGGCATCATATGGGCGCATCTGAGCATGAAAAATCAATTATAAACCATATACAGCATTATCAGTGGTAATATCAGGTGGTAAACTGGGTAAATTCAATTTCGAGTATTTTCACATAAAATCGAATTTCATTTTAAGGGTACAACCAATAGAGTTAGAGTTTAGCTTGGCTGAGAAAAGTTGTAGAGCGGAAGCAGACCTTTTTTTCTGTCTATTCAGATTTTTGATACAGTCCCTATTTCTTATCTTTTTTCAGGTTTTAAGGGTAAATTGGCGGATTTTTCAGTTTTTGTGGTAAACAGCTCAGTTTTGATGATAAATGTGTGCTTGAAAATTTGTGAATGATACATGTGGGTGAGTTGAAGATGTTTATCAATTTTAATTTGGGGGTTGTTCAATGAATTGTGTGTGAAAAAGTTGTTTGAAGGTGGATTTCGAGTTTGAGGGTTGTTTTTGTCTTACTTTCTTTTTTTGTGTGTGTTTCAATTTTGATATAGTCAAGGGTCTCTTTTCTTTCCCTTTGGGAGCCTTTTAGTTAGCAAAAATAATTACTAGATTTTTAGAATAAGCTTTTATCTTTTATTATTATCATTCAGGTAAACAACTAATGAGAGTTGGAATTTTATAATAATAAGACCCTTATTCATCTTTTAATTAATTTCTTGTTGAGTTGTAAGCTCATTTGCTCATTTGGAAGGTGCCTGAGTGCGCCTAGATTGTGCTATTTTTGAAGTTATTGTCCTATTTCAGCCTGGTTCTTATTAATCCAAAGACTTGAAGGTCTTAAATTTAATTCATTGATAATCAAAGTCCCTGTTTAAGAAGGGCATTTCTTTCTTTGATTGAAGTCTTTCAATTCACCATCTCAAGACTTATTTCTCTTTTGATTGTGTGTGTTTGTTGATTTGTGTCTTCATTCCTCCCCTTCTTGGCTCTGCTTTCAGCTGTGTACTGAAAGAGTTCTACACCGTCCTTTCAATAAACCAGCAATCTCAAAAGTTCATATTTTCTGAATAAAACTCATTGCTTTTTAACTTGGGCAATGCCAGCCAAAAATCCTGGACTCGCCCAGGCTCATCCAAGAGAAAAGGCCAGACACCTCAAACTCCAGCAACACGCCAAAAACTCAAGAACGACAAAGTCGCTGAAGCTTGGTGTAAGAAGAAATGTGATGGTTATCTTGAGGTCATCAAACAGGACAAACCACATACGGGTGCCGATGAAAATAATCCGTATGAAGATGAGGACCTTAATCCGCCTGTTGAAGATGGTGATCAATTCGATCATCAAATTAACAATCCAAATGAACAACCTCACCAACAAGAGCCGGAACTTTGTCCTCCTCAAACCATACTCGAGTTTGTGAGACACGATGCCTACAAGACAAGAAGAGTACGCGAAGAAAGAGCATGGTCAAAATTCTTACGACCCATGTTGATCGCCTACTTACGATGTTCACACATTACTTCTGAATGGGGAAACCCCATAACCTGGGAACACAATCACTTTAGAGAAGAGAAGTGTCATTGTGTGCCCAGTGAAAAGAAGAAACGTTTTCTAGATATAGTCGATCGAGAGTGTGAGTAATCGTGCGTCCGATTAAGTTATTTTCAATTTTTCTAAGCCATCTCGTCAACAGCTCGACAAAAGAAGGAGTTCGTATTTTGCAAATGTACCCCAGATCAAGTCCGTTTGATCTCGCAAGGCTACTTAGGAGGGTCTCCAACGCGGCCTGAGACGGCTTTTTCATTTCGGCTGATAAGATCATATCATCTGACATGGAAAAATCGACCGATCGGTGTACAGCCTTTCGCGCTGGCACACGATGAATATCTCGATGCGTTCTGCCCTTTGATATTGATCAACGGAACTAATCAGGTACGTTTATTAGAATTCCTACTATACTTTGTAATAAAACCTACTCAACATTGTTTTTGATTGACCAATCTAGCCTCGAAGTTGGAGAAGGTCGATGACGTGTGCCATTCATGCATATCGTCAGATTTTGAAGGCACACAATGAGTTGCAACATCTATCACTAGAGCTAAGCAAGCTACAGAAGATGGCCACTATCTGCCCACAACGCTTTGGGCCAGGGGAGACTTCGAAGCGAGCCAGCGAGCCCGATTATATCGTCTGTCTAGACGGCAATTTTCAACATAAACGACACGCAGCGGCTAGTCGCGAATATGAAGAAATTCAAGTCCAATACCCTTCCCTTTTTCTTACCGAAGAAGAAGTTAAAGCGTGGGAGCCCGGAGCAAGGCCTGGAGCAAGGTCACATGTTGAGATCCCGCTGGTTAGTATCTTTGTTTTATCTTTATTTTGTTATTTTATTCAGTTGAGCAGCTTTCTGATGATGCCTGCTCAAACCCGTAGGATCCCTGTACTGTGCAGCATACTGCCGCTGCAGACCGTAGGTGTGCCACCACCTTCCGAGGATTTGATGATAATGGTCTCATGGGTATGGCTTGTCGGCACGATCAATTTTTAGCCTTTGTCAATATAGTGCAAAGTGGGGAAAAGTAATGTTTCTGTTGTTTCTGTTCTCGCATTTGTTTTTTGCTGAATCTTTGCTGACCAATACTTGATATTATATTCCTACAGATCACACTTCGCTCATTCCATGATCGCAACATTACTAGATCACATTTCAGAGCCTGACAAACCTCCTAAAACTTGCGGAGTCCTGTACAATATTGGTTGTACGCTTGAGAAAGGATTACGAAATGTAAGAGGTCTTTTCTTCTGATAGATCAATGGTAATAGAGTATATAACATCCAACAGAACGATCTATTTGTCCAAGAACGTGAAAGAGGGCAGCTCAAGTTTGGTACAAGCGTCTTCCACGCATATGTACATCGCTGGAGTTGTCAATTAGACTACAATCCCCGCCTCAATGAGGGATGGGGTTTGTCTGATGGCGAGGGTTTGGAACGGAATTGGTCTTTTTTAGACGCTCTAGTTGCCCTTCTACGTTATGTGACCAAGCAGCATCGGCTTGATGCTTTACATTTCCGAGCACTTCATCGAATTTATTTGGGTCAATCGAACATAGGCAAGTGTCTCTAGTCTAGTATGAAGATGTCTTCTGTTCTTTAGGCGAAGTACTGACTGGTTTTTATTGGGCTAGGTCGATCAATGAAAGATCGTGTCAAGAGAGGTGTTTCAACAATGCAAGAAGCACTGGCGCTTCTTGCAGAGCTTGAGAGGGCTACTGGCCATCGTACTGAATATTTCTCGCAGCAGTGGGCACGTCAGAAGGCCTGTCAACGAGAAAATATGGGTAATACAAACATAGAACACCTCGAGGCTCGTTTAAAGCGCCTGATTGACCTTGAGGAGAGCTTCCGAGAAGGTCGGTAAGTGATGTATTATCATTTTTAGTTTCATCAATTTCTATGCATCTCCTACCTGACTGTACATACATCTACAAATGTTCAAAGGGAACGATTAGAACAACTACGTCGGCGGCGAAGAACATTGTCAGATGAAGATTTTGCTGAGCTGCGATCATTACCGGGTGTACTGGCAGATCTGGCGGAAGCCATCCAAGATATCACAACTGAATTAGGAGGACCCGAGTTTCGAGCTACACTACCTTAACCAGTATTGTTCTCATTCTCATCATCTTGAGACTAATGAGCAGCTGAAATATCCACATCCCACAGAACCTTTTGCTCGTGCTTGCTTTAAAATGTGATTGGCCAAAGAAAACCTGTATGAAGCGAAGGTCGGTGTAATCGAACATCAGAAGCGATGGAGTAACGCGGATCAGGGTAAGCTTTGTTATATTCAACAAACTGACCTGTTTAGTCTGATGTTAGATCTATTGACACAGGAGCTTCTGCTCAACAGCGATTCAAGTCTGTCATGAACACACGAGTGGCTGCTCTCAAAAGTAAATGGGCAACATATAAAGAAAAAGTGAAAAATCTTGAAGATGAGTTTCCAGGTGCTCCTCCTTCGCCTATACCAACTTTAGAGGAGGTACACGCAATGCCCATCAGCGATGTTTTCTGGAATAGTGGTCATTGGACTCACCCTGGAGAGGCGTGGGCAGTAGACAATGCAACACAGAGAGGAATAGAAGCTTATCGTACTGTACGTAGCTGTGAAGAAGAGTTGAGAAGGGTTGCCCGAGAGGTGCGGAATGTGGTGCTCCACTCTCTTGAAATGGAGGCCAAGATGGATGAACTGGAAGCTTTGAGCATCATACGTATGTACATTTTCCACGGTCTAAGTGATGTGTCCCACCATCTTGTTCATTGTTTCATTCCATATCAGCTTATGAAGCTGGTTTCCCAAATGGAACTCGGCCAATTGAGCTAGTTCATGTGGGTGGTATGCTCTCAAAAGAAGCTTGGGACGAGAGCCAGGAGGTGCTTAAATCGGTGCACAACTCGCTATCTTGTACATATTGCCGTCAATGGATGGTTTGGGATGACGAGATTCCGTTGTTACTTGAACAGACTCAGGCCTATTGCGATAATCCAGCAGAGACAAATGCTGCTCTCGTGCTACGCTGGAAAGGTTTGATGGCTCGGAACCGCGAGAAATGGGTGCTTATGATCAACGGAAATCCAATGTTTGCTGAAGGTCTTGATGAGGAAGACTTCGAAGAGCACCGCCTGAATAGGGACGATGCTGGTGATGAGAACTTAATGGACCCGAACTTTATGCCGCTGGATAGGGTTTTATTTCAGTAGTCTAGTTTGCTTTGTGTTGTAAAATGAATCAATTTATGAGGAAACAAAAGAATGCTGAGAAGATGCATTGAGATCTTGTTTTGAGAATCCCAGATGAGGTGGTGTGCTAGCACCCAGACGCATCTATATCAGATGTATCTGGTTGAGTCCGTAGACAAAGGGAACTACATATCTCGTCTCCGTATCCAGATTCATCTGGTTCAATACGTGAGGCGCTGTGTATAGAGTCAGATGAGTCTGATGTTGCACTTATTGTAATGCACAGATGCAGATGCATCTGCTTGCAAACGTGCTGTGCAAACGGTGTGCAGCAACCAGATGTATCTGGTTGACTGTACCTTTGGTGTGTGGCAGAGATAGTCAGATGTGTCTGGGTTTTCAGGTACATATTCAGATTCATCTGATATTGTACTTGATATGTGGTGTACAGATGCAGATGCATCTGCCTATGAACATATGTATATGCTGCACTGAAACAGCAGAGTCAGATGCATCTGCTTTTCTTGTGCGCGTGAAGGCTGAAATATTCCAAATATTTCAACTAAACGTAAAACATCATTGTTGCAGACTTTGGTGGCCCAAATTGAGGTGATAGATGATTTGAATGATGAAGAACAAGTTTCCAAAAGGAAGACTTGTGGATGTACCTTTAAGCTTCCCATCTGGCTCACCTGCAGGCATCTGCCAGGTATTTCCGGCACTTAGCCGAGCGTACATTACATGTTTATGGTCTGCTAAGTACCGAAGCATCTGTACTCCTCAGGGTGTTTTGATGTAAAGGGGCAATTTAGTGAACTTAGTACTGGTAAAGTAATTTAATAATGATTAAAAACACTCTAACAAAAGTATAAGATGAGTAAAAAGGGGAACAAAGGCCCGTAAAATCCTTAACAATAGTATATAACCTTCCAACAACCTTCAACAATGGTCAACAACCTCCAAAAACTCTCAAAAACCGTCAAAATCAACAAAATATCCTCCAATGTAATCATATGATGTCATAAATATTATTGTTTGTAATGATTCAAGGCGTGAATTTGATCAATTGATGTAAATAAATGATAAACAGATCTTCTTATGATGAATACAGGTGATTTTTTCCTAATATTCATAGCTGAAATCCATTTTTGGAATTACGAATTTTTTGTAAAGTTGTTCAATTTTGGATTACTATAGCTCATTTGATAGCCCTCGTGATTCTGATCATTTATCACCCCTATATCACCTATTTCTGATGTGTGATGAATAAGGCATTGAGTTGTAAAGATTGCAAAAATAAAGTTTTGTCATGTAAATGTCACATGTAACCTCCAAATTCGAAATTCACTCCAGTTTCTTTGTTGCCTTATAACTTTTTCACTACTCCTCTGCTACTAATGATTTAAAGATTGTACATTATGAAACCAATGATTCTACGTCGAATGAACTATCACACACCCAATTCTGACAAGTTTTACCATATGTAATTAACTGAAAACTCCCATTTTTGATGAATTTTGACTATTTTCACGTCTAATAATGATTTTCCTTCTATCAAAAGATCATTCCACAGCACTCCGATCAATCACACAGCATTAAAATCCTTCTGAAAAACTCTTGGCGCAATCAATCCATCAATGACATCACTACACAGGAATTAATACCATAGTACCTTTCTTTGAAATTTCCCTTTTCTTGAATAACTTCACACCTCCCTTATCAATCCTCATGATTAAAGTTGCTGATGACTAATGTGATCCTTCTCTTTCACAATAAAACCTTCCTGAACCAATATCTCTTCTAATAATAAGCTAAAAACCATTTTCCAAACTTTCATACCCATATTTTCGAATTTTTCTTCAACTTTCTTAATATTCTTCTTATTCTTTCATTCTTTTCATAACATTTTCCATTCCTAAAGATCCAAACTAAATGTTCTTCTTCCTCAAATCCCCTCTTACTAATTCTCCTAATTTGATTTTCACTCTTTTACTATTTTTATTGATCTTTTCGAATTTTTCTTCACTCTTAAATGTTCTTATCAATTGCTTATGTAAATATATGATTTGAAAGATAATGAAATGAAGATTATAAATCAACTTTGATAGCCTTGATTACTAATAACTTCAATAATAATAGTGCCTTTGACCAAAAACTCGAATTTTCACATAATTTTTAAATTTTTTGCTTAAGTAGAGATCTTGCTCACCACAACGCTTGGTGGGACATTATGAAGAGGAGATTTAACTTCACGGAAGTCTTCCGCTGGGTGGACAACAACCTGTTCATAAGGAGAGCGGGTGAAAAGAATCCAGTGTCGATGAAGGAAGTCGTAGCTGCAAGCGCCGAGTTAGGGGAGAAGACAAACGAAGGAAAGTACACCAAGTTCTGCACAGAACAGAAGTATATAGGATCTATATGGAATGGAACGGATAAATCAGTAAGGCTACCAGAAAGTAAGAGAATGGAGAGACTGAGGCAGATACAAGAAGCAATAGAAAATGACGGTACTCACACCCACAAGTCAATCCAAAAACTAACAGGGAGGCTCGACCACATAACATACATGCTAGCTCAGATGAAGTGCTATAATGTTGGACTATACAGCATGTTAGCGGGGTGGAAAAACGAGTTAGCAGTGAGAGGAATGCTGAGAGAGGTGAAGGAGGACCTCAAGGAATGGGAAGAAGTGCTTACCAAGTTCGAAAACCACAAGTTGATACCAAAGAAGGGCATCAAGAATATAGGATGGATAGGCAACACGTCGACAAGTTTTGGAATAGGAGTAATGGTGGGGAAGCACTGGACGCAGCTGAAATTGAGAAGCGGATGGAACAAGGGGGATCACATGGCTAGAAACGGTCGCGGTGCGAATCGGAGTAGAAATGATACAAAACCTGTTAGAGACAAAAGGAAGGAGGTTTTTAGTCCTAACGGATAATACCAGTACGGAAGCGGTCATCAGAAACAGTAAATCAAGAGACCGAGCCGTAAATGATGAGTGGAAGTTAATGCAAAAAGATTTCACGTACCTAGGCGGCGAAATGAAAGAAAAATACGTGAGGACGGGCGACAATAACGCAGACCAACTATCCAGAGGCAAACAAGGAACCAAAAAACTGCCGCATTTCCTCAAGCCATCTATCCCACCACACCTTTGCGATTACATCTGATATGAGACGAAGGAAGAATATGAAAAAAGACAAAGTAAGCTTCGAGAAGGCCGTAGGGAAAGATGTCACTTGGAAGAGTCTGGTGACGGAACATTTGGTGAAAGAAGCTTGGGCGGACAACACAAAGAAGAGTTACAAAAGTGCATTTCAAAAATTCAAGTCTTACATAGAGAGCACCGGGAGAAAATTCAATTACAAGAACCTGATGACAGAAGAGGATGTATATGGTTTTGTGGTATGGGCAGGGCCGTCGGAAGTAGAGAAGAAGTCGGGACCGTTGAGAGAGATCAAAGCAAAGGTGGTGGAAAAGTATTTCAGGTCTGAAGGCGTGGCACGTAGCAAAGCACCTTACCCAGCCGCTGCTAGACAAGCAACTGATAGACTGGCTTTTGAAATCGTCAGAAAGGAGCGAGGAGAAAAGAGTGATAACAGGGAGTAAAGAGAAAAAACCAATAAAGGTTCAACAACTGTTCAAGATGATGGCGGGCCTGAACGGGAAGTCAAAAACACACGACCTAGCAATGACGATAGCAGTATGCACATTCTGGGGAATGGCGCGGCTTGGCAAACTCATAAGGGGAACAATCAAAGAAGGAGACATAAAGCTAGAGGACGTGAGTTTTGGAGAATCACCAAGAGGTAGAACATCAAAATTGAGGCTATGGAAGGCCAAGACGGCCAGACCAGGTGAAGTACAGATCATAAAGTAAGAGTACAACGACTAAACGAGAAAAGAATGACGCTAACAGCGGTTGTAGTATTTAAAGCTCAACAAGAGCTTTACAACACCTAAGAAGGGATAATCTACTACATGTAATATAGTAGAAGTTGCCTAAAGACTGCCTTCTTCAAAGAAACCAGCACAAGGTAACTTGCTGACCACTTTTTGATAACAGAGAAAAAGATAAAGGCACCAGAGAAATAAAGCAATACTTGTTGTGAAGTATTATTCCCAGATTTTAAGTGCAAAAGTCCACACACTATGTTATTACTAGCAATACTTGTGTTAAGTATTATTCCCAAATTGACTTATAGTCTTTAACACACGTAAATAAATTTCTCCTTGCTTTGAAGGGGCAGATTTAAGTGATCTTAGTACAAATATAGTAAATAAATGATGATTTATAACACTGCAACAAAGGTATAAGATGCAGAAAAGGGAACAACAATCCCAAAATCATCAAGGAGTACTTATATCCACATGTAACATACTCTAAAATAGTCAACAGCCTCAAAAACCAGCCAAATCCGCCTAAAGAACCCTAAAAACCATATGATGACGCAATGTAATGATCTTGTTACTAATGTATGATGTAATTTTCACAGCCAAAAGTGATACTTGGATATAACACAGTTCAATCAAACCATGTTGAGGACCTTCTCAAGTACTTTTACCCACCTAAAGTCGTATCTTCCTTACTGTCTCCTATCTTGAGTTATATATCATTAATTCCACATAACTGACTCCAGTAAGTCTTCTGTAGGATCACAAATAAAAGTGTTGATGGTGTCCCAAGTTGTATAATGGTTGTGATAGATCGTATTGGGGCATATGGTGCCATCAGGATGCTGGGGATGGTTGACCTCAATGTGCAAACCGTCACAAAGCAATAGCTACAGGTGTCATTCTTCCACTGTCATCCACTGAAAAGGAACAGGCTAAGAAGAAGTCAGCAAAGCCTGAAAAACTGGACTCATAATTATCTGGACCAGCATTTTCAGCCAACCTGTTGAACATGATCTTGGTCATGTGGGTGGTTTGGCATGCCTTACCTTGATATTGATTTGACAATCCACTCTTACGTACAGCTTTTAACTGGGTCAATCAAGGCGCAGTAGTCCGGTCAA